CAATATTGTATCCGTAAATGATTCGCAATATGATCGCGCTGGCTTCACTGTTATGAAGGTGGTTAGCCGACGCTTCGCTGGGACAGGCTTGCTCTACTGCTTGTGGCCAAACTTACGTCTTGATATGTTTCTGGAACTCCTCAGGTCTCTCGATCGTCCTCACAAGGAACCGAAGTGACTCCAGATCCTGAGTGTCGCGGAATTCGGAGCAGATCAACTTGGTGCCCATCTGCTGGTGCACCAGCTTACGGAAGTATCGAAACTTGTTTCCATAGGGAATGACAGGAAGGAATACGCTGTATCCGCATAGCTCACTTGCGAAAGGTGACCAAGGTCGCGACGAGGTCTTGGTCGACCGCTTCTCCAGTAAGTCATGAAGAGCCTCTCGGTCATTCAGGACAACGAGGGGAGTTCCGAGGACATTTATAGAGCTGATAGGCCCATACAGATCCTTGAACTTGGCCCAGTGCTTATACTCAGCCGTTCCAGCCGGCGGAAGATCGAAGACGTTACCAACAATGGGGAGAGGCTTGGGACCAGGAGGGAGGTCAAGGCCAGTCTTCCTCTTGGGGAAGAGCACGTAATACACGACAAGTGCGGCTAGAACCACAGCTGGAAGCAAGAGGAGGCCCATGATGGCAAATACAGCGGCTAGAGACAGTACAGTCCAGCGAGAAGAGAGGAGATGAGGGGAAGATCTATATATGAGGGATCTGCACAGCAAAACACCAAGTCCTAAAGAGCATCCTCACATGCTACGTAAGCTTCTGCAATGAAACATCTGTTGGCTATCTTCAACACAAGGCGGCACAAGCGTGGGTCAGACAGAGGGACCTTTGACTATCGCATCGCTGCGAGTCAGTCAAAGGTTGTAACGTCGACGGTGTATTCCAACGGGGTAGAATGCTCCATTTGGACTGTGCAAGATGGCCTAATGCTTCAACCTTGTTTGCTCAAGCCTATAAGACGAAGTACGAGCGCAGTAAAACTCTGGTCTGCATCACAAGAGCCGAAGTAAGCGGGGGTCAAGGGTTACAGTACAGTACAGTACGTTTTCCTGCAGGCAGGGATACCATTTCTGCGGTAATTTTTTTCACAGATCGTCCATGATCTCCGCAGAAAAAGTGCGACGCAAATGCTGGGGGCCCAGCGAATGGGGAGAGAGGCTTTTCTAAAAGGGACCGTTCATGGCGAAACGGCTTTGAAGCCTTCCAACGGCTCGTGCTATCGTTAGGTTTCACGCCACTGAGAATTGACAAGGAACGGCCCGGGCTTCCTGCTTCCTAGACTTGGTCCGCGGTGATCATCTTGCTTATTGCCGTAACGGTTGCGTCTGCAGACTGCAGGTTGGTGAGGCCAGCAAGAAATGCAGAGACATCTCAGTAGGGAAGATGCCCGTCACGCACGCGGCAGCCACATAAACATGTTTGTTTGATGCAAGATAACAAAAATGGCGTGTAATTCATCCTAAAAATGGAGTGAAGCAAAAGCAAAGTCTTGGGAGCATCGCGCCAAGTGGTGAAACGGTCGATAAGCATAACCTTCGACCGTTGGGCGCTGACGAGTCATTACGCTGGGCATCAGGGCATTCGTCAGGGGACTTGACTTATTTCGAACCATTTACAGGGGACTCAGCGGGCCCCGGTAGTTGTCGATCAGTCGGAAATTGCAACATCCGCCCTAGCAATGAACATCAGATCCATCAAGATACGGGGTTTTACGATGGAGAAGCCAATGACTTGCCAATTGATTGTTCGCTTGCGACTATTTTTGTAATTTTCGCAAACCGGTAAGAAAGTGTAATAAGTGGTGCGGCCGAAGAAGCGATACGCCTGGAAGCGTCCTCCATAACATTAAGTAACAGCTCCACCGTTCAACCGTCTCAAACCGACAGAGCATCAAATAACCAACAGCCCAAATAATGCGAACCAAAGAGAGATCGAGAAGCCTGTCGACGAGTAAACAACATGTACATGATTGTGCGGTTTCTAGCATCTCAACCGAAGATATTGCTAACCCCAGTCTTGAATTCCAACCATTGGCCCAGGGCCCTATCCTGGACCTCTTCCTCAGACATCCAGGTGGTGTAGCGGTCACTTGCTGGGAGCCCAATCCATTGACAGAGCAGTAACTCACTGCCCTTATCTTTCATGGACTCCCTGCTTTTGAGAACCCTTAGTATTCGGTTTTCTCGTAAGCCAGTTGCCGGACCGCGACCACCCTGCCGTCTCCAGAAGTTCAATAGCGTCTGGGCACAGTCGATGTGCATGATCTCTTCCGGCTCCTCAGTATCAGGGCTACCATCTGCCCATCTCACATTGATCACCACACTATCATCATCGTATATCCTCCACCCCAGGAATTCCTCAATGGGGAATCGCTCTTCCGATATATATGTCGGGTTCGGCTGTGACTCACGTCGACGGTCCATCTCCAAATGCGCAACACAGAGGAGGAAATCACCAGTCGCCTCCCGACCGCCAGGGTATTTCCAACTTAGATCTTCTATTGCGAACTGTCAGCGTATTGTAGCTTGATGAGCGACGAGCGTATTATAAGAAAGGGACGCAGACGCAGATGCAGTGGCAGTGGTAGTGGTAGTGGGTGTGCTCGCAGTACTTACCAGCAGACTGTGCTGGTGGTGTATGTGTCGCGCCTCTCCGCGCACTGGCCGTAAGGGAATTCTCCCGAGAGCGTTGTCCTGGTGTCAAAAGTGAGTAACTCATGAACATGGTCCCAACCATTATCCACGGTCGATGGGGAACGCCCAGGCTCGACATACCATCACCGCCGCAAGGTATAAGATCGTCTGCGAAGTCGTCAAGCAATCTGTTCATTTCGCTATGTCTGGAGCTGCTACCAGCTGCACTATTCGACGGTCGATTTCTGGGTTGCGACGATGTAGGTGTGTTCTCCGGTCGCGACGAATTCTCGGGGGCATTGGAAGCGCCTTCCATGGTGACTGACTAGTGGCTTGAACTTGGTGATCAATTTTCGAATGGCATAAGACAGAAAGCGAGATCGCGAGCGTATATTGACCATGATGCTAGGGAGAGGCTGTTGACCATGAACAACAAATGCCATGCTGACTCCTGTCATTCTCATTTCACCAGTCTCCCCGCCCTGTATGCATCATCGCGTCCAGATTAATCGTAGCATATTTTCGGTCGGGGACCTTCTCTTGTCTGCGCAGGGAAAAGTGCGTTGCTGGCTCGGGACGGCATCCGTTTGACGGCTGGTTGCTGCGACGCGGCAGTAAATTGGCAAGGCTCTGTGTGCGCGCATCGGGATTGAGACGAAGCAGGGGTTTCGAAGCTACAAGAAGAAGGAGAGAAAAAACAGTAAGGTATAAAGGTAAAGAAAGGCGAGCGATTGCTTCTCGATTTGTTGGATTGGTGAAGCGCATACTCCGTAGAGTCTTGGTGATCTCAAGATCTCCAGGTACGCGACCGGGGACTCCCCGCGTGATGGCCAGCGTGGCTTGGGGGGCCGCAGAGCAATCGTGAATCGAGGCGTCTTGGCTGGGCTGGCAAGCAAGTGTAACCCTCTATTGCTCACCTATCCATGTCGCGTTGAGTGTAACGCCGGGTACTGGAACCTCAGCGTCGTGTTGTAATGACCATGACACATGGACCTCAACCAACCTCTCGACCACGATGCAGATGGCCAGCGTCAACACCAGTCATGCATTATTAGTATCATGATCACATACAAGAACATGTATGGAGCTGGCCTTTGATTAAAGTTATACACGCGGGTCGGGCCAAGGTCCGGTCTGAGTGCCGGTGCAACGAACATAGAACTGACGGATATCGTGTGGTGCTCCATGAGAACAAGGCACGGTCCTGGATTGGAACGTGAAGGCAGTCGCCTGTTTTCTTGCGCACCTCGCGACGTAAAATTCCCTTTCCGCATTCACCAAAATATCGCGACAGCTAGAAGACATTGCTTGTATATGCCGATTTGTTGGACCATCGTTGCGACATCGATTGGGCATGTGCGCTGCCCGTTTGCTCGCTGCAGGCGGTTGGAAAATGGCGTGGGTGCTGCATGTCGTACAACCAAGATATCGCGACAAATGAGATGTCAACGCGTCACCTCAGGCTGTACAAAAACATTTTGGGATAGAAGCAAATGCAGACGAATTGCAGGTCAATCGTGTATGCCCATCCGACACTCTTGTTAGCTGTGTAGAGCATCGCGTTCTGTAAAAGGTATCATGTCCGAATGCCACCACTTGATCACTCCATGTGATGTCTGCCCCGCAATGCCGGCTGAGGTACCCGAAGAGGATCTTGGTATCACCGATTTGCAGATGCGCATCTTGCATTTTTGTTATCTGCCGTCTGGTTTTGTTGGTCGCATGGAGACTGCTCCAGTTGTTTGCCATATGGTCGTGTTGGTGTCAATGCTGAAGAGGCGCGACAGGCTGCAGGATCAAAGGTAAGGTGCCCATCAACGCGCAAGCATGAGCCTAAAACAAAGAAAAAGCTGACCCGTGTGCTCTGTAGTTGGATGCTAATTAATGTAACGCGTGTTGCACTGTCAAAAAGACAATTGCAAGCTTGTATGAGAGTTCGTTATCGGGTCTGTTGGATTCAAAGCGTTCACACCGGTACCCCACCCTATAGCAACCTCGAAAGTCAATATCATGATGCTACAGAAGCGCGATCCAACGGTGAACCATATCAAATTGAGGTTAATCCAAATTGATATGAAGCTGAGTCAAAATGTTGACGGCGTCACGAATGGTGTCTAGATTGTGTAGGTTTGTTCTCAGCTTTCAGCATTTTTGTTGAAGTCTTCATGCACCAAAGGAATTTTGTCATGGAGCGCTACGTTCAGTCTTGGAGTCTGGAGAAAATTCGCCAAGCGGAAGTCCATGGCACAGGGAACAAATTACGATTAATCGTGATGCTACTGATCTACTTATGTAGCAAATCCTGCCATGACTCTCTGGGACAAACCCTATCATTGGCATGATCCATCTTTCAACGAATTCACTTCGTTAAAGATAGAGGCAAGACAGTGCACCCGTTCTCCTCATGGTCTTGAGCATCCTCTTGCTCAGCCAGAACCTCATCCATGTAGCTCCTAAGTTCACCCATTGTCTTTTCGAGTCGATTCGCAGCACGTTGCGCTCTGAAGGACCAGTAGGCCATTCGCCCCATCGCATCGAGGGTTTCTTGATGCAAGCGACGTTGTTCATTTCGCATCTCCACCAGAGCTTCAAGCTCTTCTTCCGCCCAGGGGTAGGCGGGGTCTTCGATCGGAGGGGGCGCTTGACGGGGGGCTTCGTTCAGCTCTCCGGGAGGGGATACACGGATTTCTGGGAGGGGAGGTTTCATAGAGGCTGACGAGCTCTCGCCGGGCGACGCGGGACGTTAATCGCCGGCTGGTTCATCGAGCGGAAGGGTTTCGGG